TCTTCCTGCTTTCCCTTTCGCCTCCCTGCATTGTGCCTACATATGCAAATTAACCGCCATCTTTGTTGTCAGTTAACTGCCATCTGAGTTGGCAGTTAATTTGCATATAGCCCTGATTAGCCAATGAAAAGGGTAGCGTCGTACACCAATTACCATTTTTCTCTTTTATTAGTGTAGATTATTAATAACAAACTATAACATTCCCTGACTGATTACTATAATTGTGTTGTGTTCATTTCCCTTATGCACCTTACGCATAGGCGCACCATTTCTCTCCGTTAATACTAGCAGCGAATATTTTAGTAGCCTATTGTCACATCACTAGTCTTGTACTGACTTATTTGGTGTATGCAACAGGAAATATTTTGGCTTTTGGAGAACAAGAAAAATACGTTTGTGTTATGCTTATTAATTTGTGCAGTTATTCAGTGTCTGATAGGTTAATGTTCAAGAAAAAATATTAATTTTTATTAAAATGTTCTATTATTTTATGTTAACAATTAATCATTTATATCAGCCCTTTATATTGAGCATGTCTCTATCGAAATAAACCTATATTTCTATGAAAATTGAAGCTTTTGTTTTTTGGCGCCCCACATAAACTTAAACCTTGTTTATTTGGCCCGTGTTAGCCTTTGAGTTTGACATGCTTACTCTAAATAAATAGTTTGTATATGTATATGTTATGGAAGTTGATTTAATAAATATTAAAGTCTAATCAAAGTGAGCAATATGAAATACCTTGGACTGGAATATACTAACCTATTATCTTGTCTGAATAGAGAACACATTAACTAAAGGTTTAGCGCTTCATGAAGTGCAAGAATTTGTGCACCTGTAGCACTGTCCAGGAGAAAGGGTCCTTTGGACCAGCAGACAAACCTTCTAAATGCCTATTGTGCTTCTTCCTCCATTCCTCACAAAAGCTATCTCAAACCACCAACACTGTCCTGGAGCCCACCATGTCTTATTTATAGCCATGTCCCCCATACCAATGTGGTACATAGTTGGTGTTCAATAAATATCTATTGAACAAAAGAAAGTGCATTGGGCTGGACTCCCTCCACCTCAGATTAGTTTAGGTGTTCCTCTTTTTGTACTTCCATAGCAGCCAATACTTCCCCTATCAGGTTTATTTGTTTCTGTTGTAATTGCCTAAGTACTTGTTACCCAAAAGATTGTAAGTTCCATTAGGATAGGTTTGTTCACCTGCTTTAAAAATATTTGTATTGCCCTAATCGGCTTGGCTCAGTGGATAGAGCGTCAATCCTCGTACTGCAGGGTCCTGGGTTCGATTCCGGTCAAGGCACGCACTGGTTGCTTTACAGAGTTATTGTGATCAAAACTGTACAGATATGAAAAATGGTTGGTGTTTAATAACTGTAATTATTATTTTATTATTATAAATACTTACTTGTTCTCACTCCTTGCTATTTAAAAACTTATCAATTCTCTTAAAACTTCCAACTCTGCTACTTCCTCTCTTACTCTCAGGAGCTGACTTTGCTTTCCTAAATTTCAGAGGAAACAGAAACCATGAGATGAGAATTTCCTACTAGCAAATCTATAAAATTGACCTGCAATTATACCCATCTTTTTTCCTTCCTCCCTCTTATAATGGAGAAAGTAGCTAGCAAGCTCTGTGAGAACAAAGTGACTGGGAGACAGAGGTGCACAATCAATATCTGTGGACTGACTGAAATGGTGTCTGTCCTCCAGTCTAAGGCTAATCCATGCACCAACCTTTCCTGCTGCCTCTTTTTAAAAATTTCTTTCTTTAAAAAACAAATATTTGTATTGCCCTAGCTGGTTTGGCTCAGTAGACAGAGCGTCAGCCTGCAGACTGAAGGATCCTGGGTGTGATTCCAGTCAATGGCACATACCGGTTGCAGGCTTGATAACCGGCCCTAGTTGGGGTGCACGTGGAAGGCAACCAATCAATGTGTCTCTCTCCCATCAATGTTTCTCTCTGTCCCTCCCCCCCCCCCCTTTCCACTCTCTCTAAAAACGAGTGGAAAAATATCCTTGGATGAGGATTAACAACAACAAAACAAAAAAATATATTTTTATGGATTTTTCAAGAGAGAGGAAGAGAGAGGGAGAGAAAAACATTGATGTGAGATTGAAACATTGATCAGCAGCCTCCAGTTCGTTCCTAGTGGGGTTTGAACCTGAAACCCAGGCATGTGCCCTGACAGGGAATTGAACCAGCAACCTTTTGGTGCACAGGATGACACCCAACCAGCTGAGCCACCCGGCCTGGGCTCCTGCTGGCTCTTATACTTCCATCAATTATCGTTTCTTTCCTGTATCTTATAAACCTCTCTCCATCCAATAGCAAGGGTCCTCTATACCAGTGGTCGCCAACCATTAG